CACAGTGGTGCGGGAAAAGGAAAATAACCCTAGTGGCAAGAAAGAGCTTTCAGAGGTAGAAAAGGCCAAGCTCCATGGCTCATATCTTACAGTCACGTTACAAAGACCTACCAAAGACATGCATGGCACTTCCATTGTGCCCAAACTGCAGGCGATCACTGCCTCCTCCACCAATCTGCGGCACTCACCCCGTGTTGTCATGCGCCAAAGTTCAGCCAGAACACCCCAGCGGGGTGGAGATGAAGAGGCAGCTGAGGAAGATGATGAGGAAGAAAGTGCAGATGAAGAAGATGAGAGTGCTGAGGAGAGTGGGGTAGCTAGACTGAATGGTCAAGGTAGCAGGGCATTTGACGGCGAGGAGATCTGGATGCAGAAGGAAGTGTGGATGTCTGTCTTCCGCTATCTCACTCGGAAAGAGCTCTGTGAATGTATGCGTGTATGCAAAACCTGGTACAAATGGTAAGTGTGCAGCTGAACCAAAATTCATTTTTGTGTAGCATTTCTATTATTCAGAGCCTATCGGACCCAGTTCAACCTCCTCAAGCGCATGTTGGTTCTCCCCCCCCCCCCCCCCCCTTAAAAAAATGTAACAGGAAGAGATGCAAGTAGCGGGCAAAAAAAGTCTTTAAGCAATGCATAATTAACTTCTAGAATTCATGTCATAGGTCGTGTTGAAGATTATTAGCATAGATGGCTTTAAAAGGGGATTAGATAAATTCATTGAGAGGTCTGTCAGCAGGTGTTTTATGTACTGATTTTATTTATCACAGCCTTCCGGAATATATAAATCCTTAAAGTGGTTCACAATAGCTACAAATGGAACTTCCATCTTTAGGTGCTGCGTATGTCTTAAGTGCCAGATTTGGGGAACAAATGGGAGATAGTTATTGGCATCCAGTTCTGCTTTTGGGCTTCAGAAAGAGACATGTCTGGTCACTGTTGGAAGCCGGGTTGGCATAATGGATCCTAATCTGATCTAGAATTATCTAAATAGTCTCTTCATGGTTGGTCATGGTCTAACTAGGCTCTGTATTGGTACCAGGATGTGACAGAAAGACTCATCAAGCCCGCAGATTATTATCCCTTCTTGCTCATCCGTGTGGGAACAAACGATACAGCCTGGCACAGCCCAGAACGTATTAAAAAGAGACTATGTGGCTCTGGGCAAAAAGGTGAAGGAATTGGAAGCGCAGGTTGTATTCTCGTCAGTTCTTCCTGTCGAAGGCCATGGCTTAGGAAGGGGAAGATGGATTCTGCAGAGCAGCGATTGGCTACATAGATGGTGTCATCAGGAAAGCTTTGGATTTTTGGACCATGGCTTACACTTTTGAGGTGAAGCCCTTCTATCGGGAGATGGTTTGTACCTCACAAGGGTAGGAAAAATGTGTTTGGAAACAGCCTTGCAAACCTAATAAGGAGAGCTTTACGCTAAATCCTGTGGGGAGTGAGACAAAAATGCAAAACCAATAACTCGAGATAAGAACTCTAAAGTTTTGTGGGGATTGGCATATATGGTAGATAGCATTAACTCGAATGTAAGTACAGAAACGAAAACCTCAGGATGCATGAAACGTGGATTCCGATGCCTCTACACTAATGCACAGAGTATGGGAAACAAGCGGGGGGAACTTGATGTGCTCATACCGGAAGGGGACTATGACCTAATAGGCATTACTGAAACTTGGTGGGATGGGACTCACAATGGGAATATTATGATTGAGGGGTATAACATTTAAAAGGGACAGACAAATAAGGAATGGCAGAAGAGTTGCATTATATGTAAAGAAGGTATAGACTTGTGAGGAAATATGTGAATGTGAGCATGACAGTCTCTGGGTAAAAATAAAAGGAGGAAGAAATAATACTGAGATCATGGTGGGGGTCTGCTATAGACCACCAAGCCAGGCAGAGGATTTGGATGAGACCCTCCTAGAACAGATTACAAAGTTCTCAAAGAGATGAGACATGGTGGTCATGGGAGATTTCAGTTACCTGGATATCTGTTGGAAGTCCAACTCTGCTAAAAATGAAAGGTCCAATAAATTCCTGACTTGTCTTGCTGACCATTTTCCAGAAAGTGGAGAGGGAAACAAGGGGATCTGCTGTCTTGGAATTGATTCTTATCAACAGGGAAGAACTGGTTGACGAGGTGAAAGTAGTGGGCACTCTGGGTAATAGTGACCATTTAATTTTGGAATGTACAGTCTTGCGTAAGGCAAAAGCTGTACATAGTCAGGCATATAGGTTGGACTTCAGGAAAGCAAATTTTGACAAACTTAAAGTTATGCTAGGTAGGATCCCATGGTCAGAAATACTTAAGGAGAAGGGAGCTCAAGAGGGACAGGAGTTTCTTAAAAGTGAAATACTGAAGGCACAATCACAATTCCAATGAGAAGGAAAAATGAAAGGAGCCTAAAGAAGCCGAGATGGCTCCATAAACAGCTTTCTAAAGACTTGAGAAATGAAAAAGACTCATTCAGAAAGTGGAAGGAGGGCCTTATAACCAAGGATGAATATAAACAGATAACCAGCGCTTGTAGAGAGAGAGTTAGGAAAGCTAGAGTTCAGTATGAGCTTAGGCTAGCGAGAGACGCTAAAAACAACAAAAAAAGGTTCTTATGTTCAAAGTAAGAAAAAGAGCAAGGACATGGTAGGCCCATTGCAGGGACAGGAATGTGAAATTGTAACAGGTTATGCAGAGAGGGCAGAACTGCTCAATTCCTACTTTCCCTCAGTCTTCTCTTGCAAGGGAAACGGTTCTCAATATGGCAAAAACAGAACACATGATGAGGGAAGGGGGTTGCAGCCTAGGATCAACACAGGGATGATATATAAACACCTAGTTTCTTTAAATGAAACTAAGTCCTCGGGGCCAGATGAGCTGCATCCAAGGGTACTAAAAGAACTCAGAAATGTAATTTCTGAGCCTCTGTCCATTATTTTTGAGAATTCTTGGAGAAACAGGTGAGGTGCCAGAAGATTGGAGGCGGGCAAATATTGTACCCATCTTCAAGAAGGGAGAAAAGGAGGATCCAGGCAACTACCAACTCATCAGCTTGACATCTTGGGATAAAGGTGGACTGTAAACTAAATATGAGCAGTCAGTGTGATGCGGTGGCAAAAAAGGCTAATCCAGTCTTGGGTTGTATTAAAGGGCCATAGCATCGAAATCGCAGGAGGTCATAGCCCCTCTATACTGCCTTGGACAGGCCACACCTTGAGTACTGTGTGCAATTCTGGAGACCTCACTTCAAAAAGGATGTGGACAAAATTGGCAGGGTGCAGAAGAGAGCGACGAGGATGATCAGGGGTCTGGAGAATGAGCCCTATGAAGAAAGGCTAAGGGCCTTGGGAATGTTTAGTTTGGAGGAGAGAAGATTGAGGGGGGACATTATTGTGTCAGGAACTTTAAGCAGGTAATCCACACACCCAGGCTTCTTCAGTAGATAAGTGTTTATTATGGTCACGCAGAACTAAGGTACATGTAAACAGTCTGTGTTAAGAATGCTCTATAACAGTGGTGGCGAACCTATGGCACGAGTGCCGGAGGTGGCACTCAGAGCCCTCTCTGTGGGCACACCTGCCATTGCCCCAGCCAGGCCCAGACCATCATTAATGTGTCGAATTCTCTGCCAAATAATTTTAAGTAAATGAAAGCATTTGGGATTGCTTTCCTTACTTTGTTTGGATCATCTTAAATTAATGTATGAGTTGTTTTTTCTAAAGTAAAACCTCAGTATTCAGGTTAAATTGCTGTGTTGGCACTTTGCGATAAATAAGTGGGTTTTGGGTCACAGTTTGGGCACTCAGTCTCTAAAAGGTTCGCCATCACTGCCCTATAATAAGATGGCTACTAACTTATAGCCTATTCAAACTACCCCCCCACACCTGCGAAGCCAATGAAGTTTTCTCGCGCGCGCTTTGGGCCCTGCCAGCAAGCAAGCATTTTTGCGCCAAATGCAGTTACAGCTCCCAGGCCTGGGGAGTAACAGCAAAGCAAAGCATCTTCAAGGCCAATGTGCAGATAGCGGGAGCGTTAGGAAGAGAAGCGCTGAGAACGGGAGGGAGATAAAATCCCCTCTCACATTCCAACACCACGACAGGGCTACCTGACATCCTGCGCCTCCAAAGACCTGCCCCCAGGCTTATCCAGAAAGCGGCGATGGAAACGCTCAAGAAGGCGAGGAGCGGAAACATGATCTGCTGGCACTCACTCCCTGTGCTATGGACCGAAATCCACCCATTCAATCAAATAGAACAGCTTATTGCGCCTAAGCTTAGAGTCCAAAATCTCAGCAACTTCATGATGCTTTTCGCCTCCAACGATAATGTGGGGTGGGCTTGCAGATTGCGGTCGCCAAGCGTTAGTCCCAGGATAACAACGGAGAAGGCTGAAATGGAAAACAGCATGTAAGTGCCTTAAATTCTTAGGCAAGTTCATCTCCACAGCAATGTCATTGATCTTGCGGAGGACTTTAAAAGGCCCAATAAATTTCCACCCCAGTTTACAGCTGGGCCGTAAGTTCCTGATGTTTTTGGTGGAAATGTAAACAGAATTGCCAGGCTGCACATCCCATGTCTCAGACCACTTTTTATCGGCCTGGGACTTGTAGGCTAGTTTAACCGAGTCCAAAGTCTTGCACAGGAGGGGCCATGCATCCTTTAAACGTTGACACCATTCGCCCACCTCCCCAGCTGGGAGAGGACCCTCTGACAAAAACGGGATTGGAGGCGACTCATAACCATACACCACCATGAACGGGGAAACACCAGTCGATGAGTGATAAGCATTGTTATAACAAAACTCAGCCAGAGGGAGGAGACCCTCCCAATCGTCTTGTTGGTAGTTCATGAAACATCAAAGGTACTGTTCCAAAGTTTGATTAACCCGTTCTGTTTGGCCGTCAGTTTCGGGGTGATAGCCGCTGCCGAGGCCTCTTTTGACCCCCATAAGGGACATGAGCTCCCCCCAGAACTTAGAAACAAATTGGGACCCCCAGTCAGAAATTATCTTCCGGGGCAGCGTATGTAGGCATAGGACATGTAGAACAAACGCCTTGGCCAAGATGCGAGCCGTAGGAAGTGCTTTAAACGGCACAAAATGCACTTGTATGGAAAACAAATCCACAACCACCCAAATGACAGTTTTCCCCTTGCTGGGTGGCAAGTCAGTAATAGTCCGTAGAGATGACCTCCCAGGGCTGACCCGGTGTTGGTAGAGGTTGTAGCAACCCTGGAGGTTTCCCCGGTCGAGCTTTGCACATAATGCAGGTTTGGCAGGATTGAACAAACAGCGACAAGTCTTTTCTCATTCCAGGCCACCAAAATTGTTGTTGGAGGAGCTGAAGGAATTTAACAAACCCTAAATGGCCGGCCAGTTTGTTGCCATGAACAACAGCCATAATTTCCCCCTGCAGCGCCAGGGGAATGAGTAATTTGGAACCCTTGTACCAACATCC